CAGCAGCACATGCGGCACCGTATGTATCAGAATGTGAGGAGGTTTTATCCTTGGGGCCGCCGCCGGTGCAGGAGAATATGACGGTTGAAATAATAGAAATGGAAACGACCGCCGCCCATAATATCAAAACCGTCGGAGCATTTATGAATCCTCCGCCGCCTTCGCCGCTGAAATCTCTCAATACCCTCACCATCTAAAACCCCGCCGCTTCTCTCTATCTTTAGGGAATGGATTAGAACTGCGAAGCTGTATTAATGAAGGGGGCATGTAAAGGTTCTAAATATCTGGTCCAAACCACAAACCAATGATATGACACCACGTGGACATAAAAAAATAATAATAGTAATAATAATGATAATATATGACCAGCTTTTGTTGACTTTTTCTTCGGATAAATTACGGTCGAGGCCTTACTTAATACGAAGACTCATTTTTTTCCATTATCAAAGATGCGGGCGAGAAATCAAAGTCAGCTTCCACATTATTATTCTTCGGTTTTTATTTATTTCGCCGACTTAATATTGTAAAAAATATATTTTTTAATATTTAAAAATATGAGTCCACATTCAAATGAAGGTTGGTCAAATTGTGGTTCAAAAAGTCAATGGTGGAATTTATGGATGAATATTATTAATTAATTTGGAATTAAAATGATTTAGAGATGTAATTTTGAAATTAAAAAGAAACTTGGAGGTGCATATGGTAATTGTGTACCCTATTATTCTGAAGCTAATTTGGGAATAATCGTATATATAAAAAAGCAGTGGATTTAAAATATGTTCCCGTTTTTTCTTCACTTTTTGTAGCTTTATAACGTGGTTCTTTTTCTTTTTTTAATTATTCTCTTGCATGAATTGAAATATTTTGATGGAAAAAGAATATATTTTCAGTTTATTCTCTTGAAATATTGTTTTAATTAATTTAGAAAAATTTAGCATTTAAGTTAATAGAATTATTAATTTGAAATTTTGAATAATATTTTGAAGGACGTAATGGAAAAGAAAATTAGAGTGAGGGTAGCATTGCAAATAGCTTAAAGTTATGGGCACTACAAATTTGAAAGAAGTTGTGGTGTTTGAAAAAGATGTGTGAAAGTGGACTGTTTGAGATTTCAAAATCATGGACATACTTACGGTAATGTCGAATAATCATGAGTGCATGCGTAGAATATGAGCATGTTAGGAATTCGTGATTAGTACGTAAGTTGTATTACTCTAGTATATGAATACGAGCCTGTGATCCATAAGGAAATCTAACATTGTATGATTACAACGTAGGAACTCTTAGGAAATTGAGAAATGAACTCCAATAACGGTTAGACCTTACGTACACCTATAGTTGGGAGAAGGACCCCAAAGATCACAATGAATAAGATCTAACACATGAGACGACCTACGTTCATTGCGGGAATAAGACAATCGATGACTTTTCGCAAACTGACAAGTATTACATAATGATGGAGAAGGCAATAAAGACGTAAGAGAAAGATGACATTTTTTATTTAAAAAAGAAATAATAGAATGATTCACATGACCCAGACGAGCATGTCATAAATCATATGAAGCACGTAAAGATTTGTTTTTAAGGGCTGAAATAAAAACAGAGTTGCCGCGCTCCAGCCCATATAGCCTTCCATCTCTTTTACCGGTTGCCACCACCCTTTCTGTTTGATGATTTTGGATAGTAATAAGATTATTAGTAAATGTAACGGAGAGAGGAAAATCAGACGTTAATTTACTTATGGAAAGAAGATTTTTAGTGAGGTGAGGGACAACCAAAACATCTAATAAGTGAATATTTGGAACAGAAGAAAGGGTACCGGTGTGGGTAATGGGTAGGGATGCACCGTTTCCTACGATCACAGAGTCCTTATCCGTGTAATTTTTAGACTGATCCAGAATTGATGGGTCGGCAGTCATATGGGCCGAAGCTCCAGTGTCCAGAAACCAATCAGCAGCATCGGGTCCAGCAATAAAACATGACGTGTTAAAGGCTTCAGCAAGGTGAGCATGAGAAGAATCAGGTCGAACATACCGTTGGTTGCAGCGGTCAGCATAATGGCCTTCTTTGCGGCATATTTGGCAATGAGGTGGTCGACGACCCTGACTTGAGTGGGTTCGTCCTCGATTAGAAGAGTTGTTTTTGTGAGAATAAGAACGACCTCGCTGGTTGGTAAAGGAAGCAGGGTGACTTCCATGGGTGCGACCACGATTAGTGGCTGTGAATGCTGTAGGAGTGGAGTCAGAGGACTCAAGGGAGTGCTGGAACAACTCAAAACTTTCAGTTTTAGAGACTAGATCTGCAAAACAGGGGATAGGGGTGAGAGCCATCTGAGCAGTAGAAAAAACTGAAAATTCGGTGTCGAGTCCACGAAGGAACCAGTGCACTTTATCAATGTCCTCGATGGGTCTGCCAATGGCATGAAGTTGGTCACAAATTTTTTTGAAGGCACGGGCATACTCAGCAACAGGTTTTGTGCCACGTTTCATCAACTGCAAGTCATCCTTAAGTCTCAGTTCACGAGCTTTTGACTGATGGCTGAACGTAGTTTCCAACGCAAGCCAAACATCACGTGCAGTAGAGAGACCAACGACAACAGCCATGACTTCCTCAGTGAGAGAGGAGAGCAGGAGACAGAGAAGTCGTTGATCGACTGCTCTCCATGCCAAATATTTGGGGTTGAATGTTGAGGAGGTTTCTGGTTCAAAGCGAGGTGGTGGAACCATAGTTCCATCGACATAGCCCAGCATGTCTGGACTCTCAAGGAGAGGGAGAAGTTGGCTTTTCCAAAGAAGATAATTGGAGGAAGAAAGTTTGATGGTGATCATATGGATTAGAGTATTGAAAGGAAGAAGATGATAACAAGATTCGGAAGCCATAGAGAAGAAAGGATCAGAGTTGTTAAACCGAAAGGGCTCTGATACCATGTGAATGTTTGATTAATCCACCACACCCAAATGGTGGTGAGAGTTCTCTTATTTATAATCATTTACAGAATACAGAAATATGGTAAATTACAAATAATAAGGAAATAGCGATAAAAAGAAAGAATAATAAATGAATACAATATATTTACATTTAATAAAAGGGCAAATATAGTAACCCGTAATGTAAGGCAAATATCTAGATATTTGCCTTATAATGAACGGTCAACTATCCTTAACACTTACGTACACCTGTAGTTGGATGAATGATAGGATGGGAGGGCATGTTGCCCAATTAATCTCCTAACCCCATGGAAAACGTGCTGATTTAGGAACAATTTGTATTTTTAACCATTACGGCTATGTGCTACTTCAAGTAGCCAAAGTAGACGTGTCATATTTGATCGAGAGGTAGTAGGTGAAATTGATATTTTAGATGTCACACGAACTTAATGGCACGAACTTGGAAGCTACGAAAAAAATAATAAAAATCCTTAAAATAAGAGACACTTGAATAAAGAAAGAAAAAGAAAAAAAAGAAAAGGTTGGTTGATGATTGATACGAGTGCCTTACAGTTTGTTCTCCTTCTTTCACTAAAAACAAATACTTTTCCAATATTATAATAATCTCACAAGCCGAAGCCGAATCCAAAGCCCAAACACACTACGGCTTGTCAATTTGAGCATTTTGTTTGAGATCATGAACAGGCGCCGCCAAGCCCACCCCCCCTTCATTCTGCTGTTTCTGCCACCCTCCAGTGTCAGCTTTCGAATGCGCCCAATAGTATAATATCGAACCCACCATCGACAGTACCGTCATGGCCCCGGCGCCGGCGAACACCCCCTTTCGAAGAGTTGCACACGACAAATCTTCGCCGCCAAACGCCGCTCTGTACTTTGTGTGGTACGCATTCCTCGCCGATCCGGCCAACAGTCCAATCTCTGCTCCCACAAAGCTGATCCTGAAAAAAAAAAAAACAGAGTAGATAAACAAATATCGCCGTCAAGGTTGGAATTTTCCTTGATGGGGTTGTTGGGTTTGAGTCATTTTCAAAACCCAATTGAATAAATTAGCTGATTTCCAGACAAAGATCTCTAATTTGGAATACATTTTACCAGGAAAAGACGAAGAAGAAAATGGCGACAGTGGTGGCTTTTCCACTAATTAAACCCTTCCCACAGCAGAAACATCTAGTAACGCCGTTAACCACCGCCTGGCTTATTAGAAGCAAACCGAACGCCGATAGTCCGTACACCGTCGATGCGTCGGTGCCGTACACGCAGTACGTGTACTCATCGTACTCATCCGGCACAACCTTAGCCTTCACAAAAATTAAAAACAGAACCCGCAGAAATATAAAAGCCTTTCATTTGCACAGATTGGTAGAAAGGGTCAGTGAATGAATGAGACCAAAAACTTACGGTGCTGCGGCGGCGCTCGGCGCCGACAGCGAGGACGAAGGCGATGAGATGCAGAGAAGTAATGGTGACCAAGACAATAGCCGAAAGCGCCATTATTTGCCCCTTTCTTTTTTGGTGTGTCTCGAGAAGGAAGAAGACTAATGTAAGTGGCTTCAAAATTTGAAATTTAATCTGCTTTTGATGAAATTCGGCGATTTTGGTTATACGACGGAGATGGGCCTCTGGCTTTTCTTGGGATGGCTGCCGAGGCCTTGATTTAGTGACCACTCTGACTACTGAGTTTTGATTCTCTGCTTTTTATCTTTACTGTGGGGTCCATTATAATAACCAATAACTTTCGTTAAAATTGGTGTAGCAGACGTGGCGAGATCTAATTGGGGAGACTTTTTTGTTAAGGTGGTCGGTTTATTACACGAGTGCTGTTTTTGATTATGCAAGTGGGACCGCTGCTTGGAATATTGAAGTCCCTGTTTTCCGGTTGTGTCACCGGCTGTAGGAGGTAAAATGAATATGCTTCATTCTATTAGTAGTAACGAATTGATTAAAAGATGTTTAAATATTACTTTGTTTCCTATATTTTTCAATTTTAATTTATAGTTTCAATACTTAAGACAGCAATTATATGGTCACGGATCCTCAGCAGTACAGTTCAAGTTGAATGCCTAAATGCATCCCAGATCCAATCCCCTTAAACAACGCTATACTTTTACAAAATGACTGTCAATCAGAGAGGTTTAAAGGAAGGCAGGCAGGCCTGATTTCTCAAATGAAGGCCGGCCTTCGGGAAAAATAAGGAAAAAAAGCGCCAGATTATTCGAACTATAGCATCCCTACACCTTGCTAAACCAGCGTGCCTTGCCACCAATGTTTTCTGCTTTCTGTCGGTCTTTGTTACTGCATCATGCATGTGCTTCCCGACCGTCTAAGGCCGAGAGGCCTTCCTCCTGTCCGTCCTCCTGAACCATCCCCTTCACCAAGCATGCGGGAAATCCACCAAATTATGGGATTGTTTTCCAGGGCCACAGCATGTCAATCTTCGTATTCTAGATGGTAGGAGTATATTGTTTCAGTAAGGTGTTACATCTGGCGGCTGAAGAATTGGAAGTCTGGGTGATTGACCTGGAGAGATCTTAACCACTCATCAGCTGCCTTCGAAAGGAAGTTTGCCAATTGATGCTCAACTCCACCATTTCGCATCCACAATGACGACCCGTTGAACTTGTATGAAGCAAGTCCAAAAATTCGTAAAGGAATCTTTTTGGCACCATCCGTCTTACAAGGATATGTCACAGATGGCACTTGTGGGCTTCGAGGGCCTACAAAGAAAATGATTTATGATCGTCTCAGGTATATCATGAAACCACAAATCCACACAATAGTATAAACAATAAAATGGTCTCTAGGATACAATAGAATAAGAAAACGAACTTCAAGTGAAATCGTTAGAAAAATAATAAGACAAAAACATGTCAAACTGGAAGAAATTCAATTACTTCTGATTGGTGTGTGTAGATAATGGTATGTGAGAAAGCAAGCATCAAGATCCTTTAATGTTTGCCCCGTTGGTATCCTGTAAATTGGGTACCTAAAACGTTTTGGGTTGGAAGCCAATTAGTCCATGGATATTAAAGAGCTTTCATAGAAAATGTGAAAATGCTGATACCATGCCACAGATATCCAACTATGTGGTAGCAGGTCACAGCTTCTCATTGTTTTCAACTGAGGGAAGCGTGAAGCAAGGTCCGATATCTGTATGTAAAAAATAACAGAGAAAAATATGAAGCTCTAAACCTAAATACAGTATCAAAACACAGAAAGTCACTTGCCTTATCAGCCAAAGGTTCACGCAAATACGGTAGGTCTCTTTCAAGGTACTCGAATAGAAGGCGACCTTGAGAATTGAAAGATTCAGCCTCATCACTAGAGCAGTCCTGATGATGTCCCAAGTGCTGATCCCTCAAAGACAATCTATCCATTCTAAAAGGAGTTGTGATAAACGGATCACTATGGTGGGGTGGTTCTCTACTGTGTTTTATTCTTCTCTTTATTTCAGAATCACTACTACCATCACTACTTGAATCTCTGTAGTCACTGTCACTTTCCTCACACCATCGCCTGTCAAACAACCAAAACTTACATCAGAATAACAAAAGGGATTTTGCAAGAGAACAAAATAAAAGGTAGAATTCACATTTAAATTCATAAAACTCGGGAAAAATATAATGCCCCAACAAAGCACATAAATTCTTCTTTCTTAAGGAAGTCCAGCAACATTCAAATCATAAGAATACGATCAACCAAAAAGGTGAAATGACTCCAGCTATAAGAGATAGCAATGAAATTCTAAAAGATCGATGTAAACGAGTGTGTTTTCCATAGGCACTATTTCTTGAACAACAACCTCTCACACCTTAAGCAAATTAGAAAGCATTCGAATTGACAACATGACCGAAAATGTATCAGGGCTCAAGTAATTCGCCGAAGCTACAAGACCTCATACGCTTTTGATCCATCCATTAATGAAGATGACATATTAACTACGCAGTCAAAAGTTGGTTAGAACTTCAAAAAGTTTTGCCAGAGAAGGGCGGAGCTTTGTCTAGACACGGGACCATCAAGGAGAAGCTAAAATGACTCCTCGGTAGATGAGAAGCATTCTATGCGAACCACGAATTCGCGCTATGGCCCATAGGATAAAGCAAATAGAGGGACAAAATAGAAGTAGAACATCGAATCACTTGAGATGAGCAAATACCCTCCCACCAAACCACAATCTAAACAAAAATTCAGAACCAAGAGATTGGAAACTCCCAAGGTAAGAAGCTGCATGCCAAATATGCGTCAATGAATGGTTTGAAAAGAACAACATTTCATGCTTATATATTAAAGGAGGTAGAAGACATTCAATTCCAGCATGTCGAATACCTTGGCCTTGTAGACGATTCCATGGCATACAATTGTATGCCAGATAAATACGGGACATAATACTGAACCACACCATCAGTGTTATTCAATAAAAGAGGCACTCCTGCCCCATAAGCACTCCACTCCTTGAAAGCCTCCCACAAATCCTCAAGCACGAAGTAAGGCTGCGTCTCCGAATCACACATTCTACAACCTCTCAACGCACTCTGCAAGAAACAACACCCAAGTTTGTCCAGTTCGAGAAGTGAAATCGAACTAAAGTTAAACAATCCTCTAAGAAATTTGCTCAAACCTTAGAGAGAAACTGAGCAGGCACAGACGGAGTAGTCGATTGTAAGAAGCGCTCGAGATTACTTAACGGTGAAACAGCAGGCTGGGGATTAGAAATGGCAACTGGTTCAGTAGCTTCATCAGACTCCAGACGGTCCCCAGGCCGTGTAGTAATAGAAGAAGGCACGAAAACATCATTAACCGCGCGGGATGGAGTAGTAGCGGAAGCGTGTTGTTGAGGTCTACGGAGCCTATCATTTTGACGGCTGAGAAGGCCCTTCCTCGCTCTCGATGAATCGTAGAACCGGTCCTCTCCCCTGCCGCGACCAAAGCGTACACCCGTTCCTAGCATCTCGAGAGTCTAGCACCAAGTGAGGAACACTGCTCTGGAAGTGGAAGTAATCGTGGTACAGGAAGAAAGTGAGGACCGATCTGAGTATCCGAAATCGAAACAGCAGAAACAGCAATTTGTCGGATCTGCCAGGGAAATCAGATCGCCGACGAAGAAATTCCTCAAGCAAGAGAACCAATCCAAGAAACAGTAGCAATGAAGACAGTCGAATCGAATGGGAAGAGGCGGGTTTCAAAAGATCAAAACGGTTCGACGAAAAAGGCGATTCGGATTAGGAGAGATCTTTTTTATTTTTTTGGTAAAAGGAAATGAAAATTTGAAAATCTCCTTTTTCGTTCCAAGAAAAGTAATTTTTTTTCAAATGAATATTCGATTAAAAAATTATAAGTAAAAGCTACACAAATTCAGCTCCGAAAGTTGTAATTGCAATTAATTAAATATGAGGACCAAAATAATAAATAAATGGAAGTAGAGAGAGAAAAATGTAATTTTCAATACTTAGATTTAGACGTAGAGGCCTCCTTAGAGGGTGAACTCCCGTCACACGCAAATTCCAAAAAGTGTAAAATTGGAAAAATAGAGGGACAAAAGAGAAAAAATGTGAGGCGGAGGAGATCTGGAACGTGGTGTTTGGATGGACAACTTTGAGCCACGTGTAGGGTTCGATTGAAGCAAGCGTTACGTTTATTATTATATTTGTTATAATAATTACTATTATTATTATCATTCCTCTTGTGATTATAAAAAAATGAATTTTAGACAAATCTTTTTTATCGATAACTTCAGACCAATCAATCGAATATTGATTAATACGTAATCGAGCGAACACTACTTGAAAATGAAAATGACTCTTCTGCTCAGAAATGAAATGTTCCTGGAAATTCTTGCTCCCATTGGACCAATTGTATCTATATGCATTAGGATCCCGATTTATGGATCTCTGAAATAAGGATTCAAAAGAGTAACAGGAAAATGAATGATAGTTATTAGGCCACAGCTATTTATTTATTTCTTATCGAACAAATTCATAAAATTTTTATTTATTTAAACTCAATCGAAACTGACAAGACCATGGCGAATTAAGAATAAGCTCTATCAGTACAAACATACACGTACCTGTTATCCTCTTTCCCAACAACTTCATTCCAGGATCATTCAAATGGACAGCCATGGCACTGCTATTTCAACACTAGGCAAACATCGTCCTCAGCATTTCATATATAGATATATGTATATAAACAAAATAAAAGCATATACAAAGCACAACCACTAATCCTACACAGAGTTCTAAACGCTGTTCTTGAAGCTTTTCAACAATTTACATGTAAGGCGTGTACATTCTGAATCACTTGACACTACAAAAAAAACTTTAGCTTCTTTCATTGCCAACCATCTCAACCACTTCTTCAACCCAGTATTTCGTACTAGGTAGTTTGGATGTCAATCACAAATTATGTCAATGTCGATATCGATATCGATATCGATTTGTCTGTCTAGCAATGTTCTTGCTATACCACCATAGAGGTGCTGTGAACCAGGTGGGCGCCCAATTGTCACGGTTACCACGGAAACAAAAATTTCCATTCATGTCTCTGTCGATGTGGAAGGTTTCCCAGTCTTTTCGTGAGGAGTTGTCGAGTCCAAAGAAAGAAGATAATCCTTTCAAATGATTAGAATCCCATTCATTCCACCAAGGAGCAACATCATCATTGGAGAAATATATACGGTTACTGATACCAATCCCAAGTTCAGATGAAGAAAGAGATCTAGAACAACATTTACCCAAAAACAGAATCCGATCGTCGAGATAATCGACCTTTTCCCATGACATCTGACCAAGATCAAGTGAATATATTTCAAAATTTATTGTTTCACGTATAGCATCAGGTTTGTCGCTGAAATACCTACAGACCAGCAAAACCTCCCCTGAGGAATCCACAAGATACTTCAGCACATGTTGACTGTCAATTTCCAGGCTTCTAACTTCATGGAACTGTGCTTTGATCTCAGAAATAGATGTAGCATTTTCATCTTCTCTAATACTGGAAACGATGCATGTTGCATCGAACTGGAAAATGTTACCATCATTGCAGAGAAGAAAAAGACTTCCACTACAGAAGACAGCATCTTCGAAAGGTGTTCCTTCGAGTCTATACTTGTGCCATACTTTCGAGCCTTGAATCCAGAAGGCAATTTCACGATTCTGACTATGAATGGCTGCACAAATTGTGTTTTCCTCAGCAGGAGACCCTGAAAGAGCCATCTTGTGATAGAAGTTCCAAAGACTTGGCAGGTTAATCCTCTTTGTAGAGAAGGGGTTCAACAAACTGACTTCAAGAGAATAACAGCCAAGATCCTTCACCAGTATTAGCCAGTCCTGAAAAGATCCCCAAACGTAAGCTCCATACGCCTCAAGAAGCTCCATTTCCCAACTTTGATTGTCTAGCACGCTAGCACATGTTCTCATCTCCCTATCTTTTTGACCTGACATCAAAAGCCATGGAAATCCACCCCTCTTCCAATTTGGAAGTTCAGCAAGGATATTGCTCCACTGCTTACAAACACTATCGACTGACATGCAATCCACAAGAGATAACTTCTCAAAGATCATGACAAGAATATCACGAGGAAGCCCTGCCCAATCCATAGGAGAATTTCCCTTTCCATCCTTCAACTTTCGTTTTTTCCTCTGCCTTTGATTCCTTCTTTTACACTTCAACATTTCCCAACATTACTATTCCAAGTCTATATTATATCTGTAAGAATATGAACGGTTTTATTAAACTTTCAAGAAAATAACTAATGAATGCTACATATTGAAACAAGTTGAGGATAAATCTCAAACAATTTGTTAGACATCAAAACAGCATTGAAGAATGTAAAATGCTACATTAAGAGTTGAATATTCTTACGGCCGCCAAGATTCAATACAATGGTTCATTCCAAATGAGCAGAAGATAAATGAAAAGGTTCAAATGTAAGACGTTGTTGTTAATCTAACCAGATAAACAACGTACATGGACCTTCAATATCAATATATGTCCCTTAATTTCACCAAGATGCAAGTGGAAAATGGCCCAAACAATCAGTGAGTATAAATGGTCATAGAATGAAACTCACACATTTTGGAATGAATTCATAAACGGCAACCACCAGAGTTAAATGCAATCGGAACTTGTCTATGTTAGGAATCACAACCCTCCACAATGGTATGATACTGTCCACTTTAAGTATAAACCCTCAAAGCTTTACTTTGGGTTTCTCCCAAAATCTTCATACCAATCGAGGTGTATTCCTTACCTATAAACTTAGGATCAACCCCTTAATTAGAGGATGTGGGACTCCTCTAACAACAATCCTCATCAGTCTAAAGCGAAGGGAAAGGTCAAAGTATGAACTGTTATTCGTTTCTTTAGATTGGGGGAAAAAAAGAAACATGGTTTCTCCAAAGTCCATGAGTGTTGGAGATTAAATCAAGTGAAGTAACTATCTCGTCCAACAGTACATCTGATCCAAAGATTTACAGTGTGAAGATCGTAGCTAGAAATAATACAGCACGAGCTCACAAAAACCAAATCCCCAATACTTCATTCTCTTCTTGTTTTTCAATAATTTCCCACTAAAATTACACAACATCCCATACAGTAAACAAAGTCCATTTGATCAGAAACAGAAGGATACATGCAAATACAGCAAACACATCGCTTCGTAACACCCATTACTTCGAAGCATCAAACACAGAAAGACCTAAGAAGATAGGCACAGGGTGAAAAGATATGACAAACCTAAGGATTCTGGGCGAACGAAGTGGGAAGTTTCCGGTTCCCTCGCAGGAAGAAATTATGAGAGGCGACCCTCAATTAGATTCCACTAGAAGAAATCGACGATCGCTGATAGCAAGAATTTTGTATGATCAGAACTCGGAGACAGAGCAGGATGGAAGGCAAAATAGCCCCATCTCGGCTCCCACTGAACTTGATTCTTGCCTCTCCACAGTGCGCAGATAATTCTAGACGCCAATGACTCGGGCGGGCGCGCGGGTCCTTTTAGTTCGACCATACATGGCAGACGAGATGAACAAAATTTATATATTGGGATAAATTATAATTTATAAATAATAATAATAATAATAATAATAATAATAATAAATAGTTTATTTAAATTTTATCTTACTGTTTAATAGAACTCATCATTATTAAATTTATACTAAATTAACCCTAAAATTTTGTATTTTATCTAAAATTATCGGGAAGCAACCTAATTAATAATGGCATATCTAATTGAGGCAATTATTAGGCATGCATTAAATCATCACATGCTAATCTGTCTAATTTATGAAATTTATATTATTAAATCCAAAATTATTATTTTAACAAAAAAAAATTACTCTTATTTACTTAATCCCAATTGACATAAACACCCTTTACTTCTAGAAATTCGCGACCTTATTTTATTTTTTATTTTTACCTACTCATCCACTGCCATTTATATTATATGTTCACTTTAAGAATGTTTCCACAAAATAAAAATAAAAAAAACAATAATTGATGTGGTATTAATTTTTTATTTAAATAAAATATTTTGACTACTTATTGAATTATGTTTATTAAAATTTCTCTCAAACTATGGTTAATTGTATTATAAGAGTGGCCTTTTTATTGAATTATATTTATTAAAATACTCTCAAACTATGGTTAATTATATTATAAGAGTAGCCTTTTTCTCTGTTTTTATTGAATTAAAAAAATTATTGAGTTTAAAATATTAAAAAGTATAAATTAATTTACTTTAAAATTTATAATTATTAATGTGAGATTTTAATAATCCAATTGATTTGTTTTTTCTAATATTCAATTAAGTGATGTTAAGTGCAAGATTAAAGAGGCAGTGGCACGTGCTGCAGCAAAGTCCTAGAGATTTCCACGTCAGAAAAAAAAACATACTCACTTTTTCCTCACACGTGTCGGCCTTTTTACTGTTTTCAAACACCGTACCATGCAATACCCTTTTCTCAAACTTTTCCAAATTTATTGATAATTATATTTTTTTCTCTAAAATGCAAAATAATTATAATAATAACAATCAAAATTAAATGGCACGGAAGAAAAATTGGGTTCAAATTCATAATCAATAAATTGGACGATGAAAGTCCCTAAATAATTTAGGGAATAATTATGAATTTACTCTCGTTCATGGAGACATTTTGGGCGCAAAACTCAGAGAGTTTTTAAGTGTGGACTTAAAATCAGGCCTTTGTTGAGTTAGTGGGTATGTAAAATTTGGATTTCACTAATAGTGATTGATGAATGGGTTTTCCAGTTGAGATAGAAGCATTTGAGTACCTGGAAAATCTTCATTTTCCACACCCAACAAAGGGTTCTGAAATTTAAGAGAGTCGGTTTGGGGTTTGGCGGAGGAAAACGTTGAGAAGCTGACCTGGGTTTTGCCTACAAATCTCTATTGTTTTATTATAATCGAGTATCTTTGTGGGGATCCCTTTCATTTCTAAACAATTTCCTGCTTCTAGATATGTAATCTTTTACAGTTCATTCCTCCTCATCTCTACGCGTTTCCCTTTTCTTTCTCTGTCTTATTCAGATCTCTTCTCCTTGTCTGTTTGGATCTCTGTCTTCTTAGAATTTTACAAACCCCATTAAACTAATTTCTTCAGAGGTTTCGGAATCTGTGAAGAATTTTGGTCGCTGTATTCTTGGCGGATTGTCGATTGGATCAAAATCTTGGGCACCGGAGTTTATTTTCTGGGGTGTCGATGGCTTCCAGAGAAGGGCAGCGGCGGCGTCAACATAATCACAATCTGGTGCCTCTTGCTGCTTTGATCAGTCAAGAGGCGAGGAGCGAGAGGTTGGAGAAACCGAGTTTAAGATATGGGAATGCAGCGCAGTCTAGAAAAGGGGAAGATTATTTTCTCATGAAAACTGATTGTCAGCGACTTCCTGGGAATCCTTCATCCACTTTCTCTGTTTTTGCTGTAAGTTCTCTTCCTCTTTGTCGAAGTTTTGGTTATTTTTTGTTCGGATTGCTCTGGTTCTTTTCCTGAACTGTAAGAGTTTCGCTGGATTTTTCAAATGGGTTGTAGTTGATCTTAAGAGAAACCTTTTAAAATTGATGGATGTTCGTTCATATATTTGGATATACATGATCTTATAGCTGGTATCTCTTGAGCACTGGAATTAGGACTTTGTGTTGCTTGATCACTATTTGGTTCTACCTCCTTCAGATATTTGACGGACACAATGGAAATGCTGCAGCAATTTTCACGAGGGAACATTTGTTGAGTCATGTCTTGGGTGCACTTCCCCGTGGCCTCGGGCAGGAGGAGTGGCTTCAAGCTCTACCACGAGCGTTGGTTGCTGGATTTGTGAAGACAGACAAGGAGTTTCAGAGTAGAGGTGTGGGAATTGTTCACTGCCCTCAAAGATTGGTCATTTGGCATAAATGCTTTGTACCATCTGATCTATAATCATTCTTTGATGCTTGTGCTGAATGTTTTACAGGTGAAACTTCTGGAACTACAGCTACGTTTGTGATCATCGATGGATGGACGGTGACAGTAGCGTCGGTTGGAGATTCCCGGTGTATTTTAGATACTCAGGGTGGTGCTGTCTCTGCTTTAACGGTTGATCATCGGCTGGAAGAGAATGTTGAAGAGTATGTTTCCTTTTCAAATCCACTGTTATCCCTTTTGTGAGATCCCGCATCGGTTGGTTGGAGAAGGAAAGGATGTAGAAACCTCTCCCTTAAAGATGCGTTTTAAAACCGTGAGGCTTATGACTATACGTAATAGACCAAAGTGGACAATATCTACTAGCGGTGGGCTTGGGCTGTTACAAATGATATTAGAGTCGAATAACGAGCGGTGTGTCAGCGAGGATGCTGGCCTCCAAGGAGGGTGGATTGTGAGATCCCACATCGGTTGGAGAGGGGAACGAAACATTCTTTATGAGGGTGTGAAAACTTCTCCCTAACAAACGCGTTTTAAAACCGTGAGACTGACAGTAATACATAACGGGCAAAAGCGGACAATATTTTCTAGCGGTGGGCTTGGGCTTGGGCTGTTACATCTTTCCATTTGCTTCGTGTTAACTGGCTGAGTGATTTTGGGGTCGATGCAGGAGAGAACGTGTGACTGCAAGTGGTGGGGAAATTGGAAGATTAAGCATTGTTGGTGGTGCTGAGGTGAAGCAATTGTAGCTGTTGAGCAGATAAAAAGCATCCTATAAGTTCAAAGAACGTTGTTTAATTTCCTTTGTATATTTTCTTGAATGTTTCAGATCGGCCCGCTCCGTTGTTGGCCGGGAGGCTTATGCCTTTCTCGATCCATTGGAGACATGGATGTCGGGGAGTTCATAGTTCCAATTCCCTTCGTGAAACAAGTAAAGGTATTTACACTATTCTCATTTGGAACTTGTTTCATTTTGTTAGGAATCACGAACCTCCGCAATGGTATGATAGTGTTATGATATTGTTCATGTTGAGTATAAGCTCTCGTGGCTTTGCTTTTGGTTTCTCCAAAAGGCCTCATGCCAACTGAGATATATTGTAAATTTCATTTCAACCTCTCTAATATATCTCTGCTCGTTTTCTAAGTTATCAAACGCTGGTGGGAGGCTAATAATTGCTTCTGATGGCATCTGGGATGCCCTATCATCAGATATGGCTGCAAAGTCCTGCCGTGGACTACCAGCAGAGCTTGCTGCTAGGCAAGTTGTGAAGGTAATTTAAGCGACTTTGATGATTAGAAACTTCAGTTTCCAGCATCTTTTCTTCTTAATGCAATGGTTTGAAGTTTCATTTCCATGATCTCTTCAGGAAGCCTTGAGAACAAGAGGCTTGAAAGATGATACAACGTGTATAGTTGTAGACATAGTTCCTCCAGATAATTCATTACAGTCTTCCTCTCCCCAGAAGAAACAAAGCGTACTCAAATCGCTGTTATTCAGGAAAAAGTCACACAGTTCTAACAAGCTATCCAAGAGCCTGTCAGCAGTTGGTTTCGTTGAAGAATTATTCGAAGACGGCTCCGCCATGCTTGCTGAAAGGTTGGTCTTTCCTTTCTGGGTTGTTTTTTCATCCATACAATTTTCTTTGTTGTTAAAAGTCACCCTCAACCATTCCTCGCCCTTATAAAAAATGTTTTGTCCTCATTTCCAATCGATGTGGGATCTCACAATTTACCCCCTTCGGTGCCCATCGTCGTCGTTGACACTTGTTCTCTTCTCTAATCAACGTGGGACGTCCTCCGTGGGACATTCTAATCCACTCCCCTTCGGGACTCAGCCTCCTCGATGGCACATAGCCTAGTGTCTGGCTTTAATACTATTTGTAATTGCCCAACCCCTCTTTGGTTTCCCTTTCAGGCTTCCCTCAAGGTTTTCACAACACGTCTAGGACATGTTTCCACACCCTTATAAACAATGTTTCATTCTCCTTCCTAACCGATGTGGGATCTCACAACTATGGGCATAGGTTTGAATATGGTAATTGTCATTGCACTGTAATCTCGAGTCTTCTTGATGAACATACCTCGTGTTTGTCCAATGATTGTTCGTTTGCTGCACTGTACTTCAATTATCGATTTGATTGTCGGATCGTTTTACAGAATTTTTGTGTGACATGCACATTTCATTTAGAAGAATGAATTAATTGATATATACATATGTTGCTGCAGGCTGGGAACTGTAGAGTTGAGTGGATCTAAACATGGCACACCCGGCCTGTTCTCTTGTGCTGTATGTCAAGTAGATCTTGCTCCCAGTGAAGGCATCTCTGTTCATGCTGGTTCCATCTTCTCCACCAGCTCAAAGCCATGGCAAGGGCCCTTCCTTTGCGCCGATTGTCGAAACAAGAAGGACGCCATGGAAGGAAAGCGTCCCAGCGGGGTGAGAGTGGCATAGCTCATTTCCATTTATTATATTAACTCCTTGATTCTTTCTCTTCTTTGGATCTACTTCGACGGGTCGAGTAGCTCGATACAGATGGGTCGAGGAGCCAGAAGTACATAGCTAATTATTGAAGCCAAGCTAAAGACTTGAACTAAACCAGAAATTGAAATTTGTGGCTGTATATTATAAAGCTCCTTTTTTTTTTTTTTATTTGTTTATTTTGTTTCTGAATCAAGGTTCATAATCTTGCCTTCTGCCTATAGCCCGTGTTCGGAGGAATTGAATGATATAAGTTTATTTATTTATTTATTTATTTATTAAATAGAAATTTTATTGGCATTTTGGGCCGCCATGTGGGCCATTCCTTAAGAAAGCAGGCTTGGTTACTGGACCAAACCAAGGATGGGCCCAACTAAAAGGTGCTTTGGACCCCCAAACAAGAACCAACCCGCCCAATGTCATCATGAAAAATGGATATATATAGTATTTGTTTGGTGGGAAAAGGAAAGGGTATCATCGTCAGAAAGTAAAAGCTTAAAAAGGAAAAGTCGAAAAATAAAGCTATCCTCTGTGCAGCTTCCAAAGAATACTTGTCTAAATCATCCCTTTTTGACCTTCCTGACCCTCTTGAGATATTGTTAAGAATAGACTATAAATAAGAAATATTATCTTTATTGGTATAACGTTTTTTTAAAAAATCGAAAGTGAAGTCATAAGAGCTTAAGCTAAAGTAGACAATATCATATTATTAAAAATGTTCGAGAGCAACATATAATAAGATATAAAGATGTGAGATTTAAACTATTATCTTAATTGATTAAGTTTTATTATTTGATAACTTTAGGGCAGAGGATAAAACTATACGTTATAAATTTATAATATAGTAATAGATGTTTTTTTTTTTTTTTAATAAAATTTAACACACTCACTTTAGCAGCTACGGTCGGAAATATTAAAGAAAGCAGTTGAAATAATTGAATGCAGCTTTATAATATTTATTAATTACGAATAATAGGTTAAATGAGGAATCAAATTAAAAGGTTGGAGGTGGAAATTAGCGAGGTTCCACGTGGGAAAGGATTGCATTCATTCAACGCTCTCGGAATTCGCCACGCGCGTCAGAGTCTCGTGTTGTGTACGGATCATCAGGAGCTTCGTATGACTTGGGAGCGTGATTCTCACGGTGCCCTAAACTGCATTTGCAGTCTTTTTAAATTAACTAGGTTATTATCTATTAAAATTTATAAACTAAATCCTCTGTATAGTTAGCTTGACATAACTTGAAATATTTTAATTTTGATAAAGGGATTAGACAGACATTAGTCCTATGTTTTGATTCTTTCCTCATCCAAATTCTAAATGCATTTCCATTATCTCTATCATTTTTTTTTCCTAACTTTTGACCACGAACTCGAACTCGAACATATTCTCGTATTCTTTTACAATAATCAAAATGTCAAATTTAGTATCATAATCAAATGGAGATTGTCATATCGTTCTAAGTAACTATTTAAGTTCTTTCGTTTTTTTCTAAGTAATCATAATTAAAGTAATTTTAGTAATGAATATTTATTTATTTATTTATTTTCAAACGTCTTACCAGTTTTTTTTTACTTAAATTTTGAACCAAAACTCCCTCCACTTGCATGACTACTATGAAATTAATTTACACTTGTGGAAATTCTAATATATTTTATCCGTCTGGTTTAGTTCTAATTTAACCGATTAAAGTAAATATTTTAAATTTTAAAAACTTTATTCACGTGTACGTAAAATTAAAATTTCATTACACGAATTTTTAAAAACGGTATTTATTAAGTCACTAAATTATTAGAAGTATCTAATTTTGTAGGAGAGAGGGGTGTTGTTGTCTTTTCGGATAAATTTTATCTCCCAGTTAATACTGCAGACATTACAAGCTTTTTCAGTTCTCGTGCTCAAAGGGTCCAGTAAAATAAAAAACTTGTTTGCAATATCGCCCCTTTACTTTCCATTAATTACACCCCTGTCACTTCCATTTCAGTTACTCTTCTTCTTGCGTCTTCTTTTTCCCTGCGTCTAAAACTTCTTCTTCTCCCCCTTCTCTCTGAGTTTGGTTGCAGAGCAACAATGGCGGCGTCCACTCGGCTGTCGTATTTGGCTCTCTATATTTGCTTACTCCACTTTACATGTCTTTATGCGTCTTCGAATGTAGATTTAGACGCTCTAATGGAGTTCAAAGCGGCGTCTGATAAGGGGAATAAGCTCACCACATGGAACTCTACCTCTAATCCATGTGCTTGGGACGGAGTTTCTTGCCTCAGAAACAGGGTCTCGAGGTTGGTTCTTGAGAATCTTGATCTTACAGGCTCTATGGCTCCTCTTACTGCTTTGACTCAGTTACGAGTGCTGAGCCTTAAGCGGAACCGTCTCTCCGGTCCCATTCCCGACCTCTCCAACTTCACTGCTCTCAAACTCGTGTTTCTATCGTACAATGAATTTTCCGGTGACTTCCCGGCTTCTTTTCGGTCTCTCGTCCGGCTCTACCGTCTCGATCTTTCTCACAATAACCTGACTGGAGAGATACCGGCTTCTGTTAACCGTATGACTCATCTTCTCACTCTCCGTCTCGAAGATAACCGGTTTTCAGGTTCTATTTTGGAACTGAACCTGCCGAATCTTCAGGACTTCAATATTTCAGCGAACAGTTTCTCCGGCGAAATCCCCAAATCGTTGTCGACGTTTCCTGAGTCTGCTTTCGGCCAGAACTTGGGTTTGTGTGGTTCCCCTCTTCAGAGCTGTAAGAGCATTGTCAGTAATCCGACGGAACCCGGATCCGAAGGGGCAATTGCCTCGCCCATTACACGGCCGCGGAACCTCACTGTTTCATCTACTCCGACTTCCCTTCCCGGAGTTACACCTGAAACAAAGCCGGAAAGTACACACCACCACAGCACTGGAAAGATAGGTTCTCTAGCACTAATCGCCATAATTCTCGGCGACGTTTTGGTGCTAGCAGTGGTCTCGCTTCTTCTCTATTGTTATTTCTGGAAAAACTCTGCTGGCAAATCCCGAGACAGGAAGGGATCGTCGAAGCTTCTGGAGAGCGAGAAGATTGTTTACTCTTCTAGTCCATTTCCAGTCCAAGCCGGAACAGAAAGAGGCCGGATGGTGTTCTTCGAGGGAGTCAAGAAGTTCGAGCTCGAAGATTTGCTTCGAGCCTCCGCGGAAATGCTCGGAAAGGGTGGGTTCGGAACTTCGTACAAGGCGATTCTCGACGACGGCAATGTGGTGGCGGTGAAACGGCTGAAAGATGCTCAGGTTGGAGGGAAACGAGAGTTCGAGCAGCAGATGGAGGTATTGGGAAGGTTGAGACATGCTAATATTGTAAGCTTGAGAGCTTACTATTTTGCAAGAGAGGAGAAGTTATTGGTATATGATTACATGCCCAATGGCAGCTTCTTCTGGCTTCTTCACGGTATAATTTTCATCAAACCCATCATTACAATGCCTTTGATTCTTCTGAGTTTTCATATTTTTAAACCATTTTGTTCATAGTCTAAGAACAGACATGGATTATGTTTTAGGGTTTATAATTTTGTGTGAATTCCCAGACAAGAGAGCAATAGTTATATGGCCGTATCGAAGGTGTTGCATTAGTAGCAGCTTATCTACGATTTTGGAATGGGGATTTTTAGAATTCTACTGTTCATAGACGACGGAACAGAGTGCCATGCTCTACCAAATAAATAATTCTGTCTTTACTTTATCTGCTTGCCCTTTATTTAAATTGTTTGATTTCGTTTGTTTTCCATGAAAATGACCCGAAAGGATGAGATTGAGATAGCCCATTGATTGTTCGCAGTGGCCCGCCCATTTGTCCGTTGAATAGTAATGGTTTTTTTGACCGTTTTACAGGGAACAGAGGTCCTGGACGGACGCCGTTGGACTGGACGACGAGGTTGAAGATCGCCGCCGGAGCGGCTAGAGGACTGTCCTTCATTCACAACTCCTGCAAGTCCCTCAGGCTCGCCCATGGCAATGTTAAATCCACCAACATCCTTTTAGACCAATCTGGAAATGCTCGCGTCTCTGATTTCGGATTGGCCCTTTTCACTCCCCCTTCCACTCCTCGATCCAATGGTTACCGGGCGCCGGAGTGCGGTGAGGGTAGAAAACTGACTCAGAAGGCGGATGTGTACTCGTTTGGGGTTCTTCTCCTCGAGCTGCTTACTGGAAAGTGCCCTTCCGTCATGGAGAACGGCGGTGGATACGGCGGCGTGTTGGATTTGCCCCGGTGGGTTCAATCGGTGGTGCGAGAGGAGTGGACGGCTGAAGTGTTTGATTTGGAGCTGATGAGATACAAAGACATCGAAGAGGAAATGGTGGGGCTTCTGCAGATCGCCTTGGCCTGTACATCGGCTTCGCCGGATCAACGGCCGAAGATGAGCCATGTGGTGAAGATGATTGAGGAACTCCGAGGGATGGAGGTGTCGCCGTTCCATGACGGATCTGACTCGGTTACGGAGTCGCCGTCAGTTTCGGAGGGTACTTGCGGCGTAGGAGCCAGCCAGTAAACGACGGTGGTATGAGGTTGTTTCTAAATTATTATTAGCAATAGCAACCGTAGTAGTATGTACATTAATTGGTTCTTTTTTTTTTTTTTTTTGCCTTTTAATTTTAATTTGGTTTCATTTCGTATTCGTAATAAAAAAAACGTGTTTAAAAATAATAAGATTTTCTAAAATATGACGGTGAATATTTAAATAAACCATAAATATAATCCGATCAAACTAATACTAATGTTTGTTAATAAAAAAATTCAAAATAATATAAATCAACTTGTTTAAAAAACCACAAAAAATTATTATAATAAATAAATTCATTTTATTATTGTTTCTTAAAATTTAAGTTTTTATTGATAGAAAAAAAAAAAACATTATTCCGACAAGGAGCTGTTTTAATGTCATTGAACATAATAATTTAAAGAAAATTCAAAATTAGGTTACAATTAATGTATTCATATCTTATGTTATAAACTAATAATTTCCTATTCAACAAAATACCACTATTAATTTTATAGCATTTATTATTAAATTTTTTGAGTAATTTACTTATTAAGCAAGATTCCTCTTAATTTAGAACTGAGACTCATAAGTTCTTCCAGGGAAGGCTTGAAAAAACTTATCTCTCGATCTCTAAAAAAAAAAAAAAAAAAAAAAAA